GGGGAGCAGGCACTCTTACTTTTAGATGCGAGATCGTGGGCCTGTCTGGTGCCATTCCCCCTCGATCGTTGGCGGCCAGCGGCGAGTCAGGGAGCTCAGAGTGGGGAGGAGAGGAGAAGAGGCTTGTCGTCTGTTGTGCGGCGCACGGCTCGGTTCATGTGTGGAGCAGCTAGCAGGGTAACTAAACGATGATGGAAAACGCTGACAACGTTTTCCATCGTCGATTTTAATCGACTACATCGATTAGTTGTTGCAGCTCTAGTCAAATTGAAAATCACTTTCGACTGCATTAACGGAAAAAAAATCAAAGGAGCAGGATGGAAAGAACAAACAAAATTCTAGCCGTGAATGCATTTTTTTAATGGAAACTCTGGACACTCCATTCATTTAAAAATGGAGCTCTAAAATCAATGAAAATTTCGAATGACATTGTACAAGTCTCTGATGGCATTATCGAATGTTCTGCTGAGATTTGTTTTGTGCGACCGTGCATACGAATTTCTACCTGTGTACCCAGCTTCACACATTTACAGATGCCTCCAGAAGTATGTCGTTCTGCATTGTTGGTAACTTAAGTGCTTTGTAGGCCAGGTGAGGTTTAGTTTATTTGGGTTGCATATGTATTCCAGATTATGCAGGGTGGACCTGACTGTTTTTTGTGCACAGTGGATTGTTGTTTTGTCAAACGTGACATTGGTCTATGATCGGATTGGAAGGTTGCAGCATCAGCATGTAGCACTAGTTTCAGTTAATAATTTGGAGTAGATAGTGATACTAGTCTGCTGACTACTTAGAGCCGTGGTGGTCAACTTATTCAATATAGGGGGATTTACAGCGCAGATCCTGAAATCAGCATAAGGCTGTAGACATGTGCGATTCGTTTCGATCGTCGACGAAATTCGGACGAATTTTCGGAAATTCGGACATTCGGATGTATCCGAATTCCGAATTACAGACATAACGAATGCAAACGAATCCGAATTTCCATTTCCGAAATTCGGTAGTGGTAGTTCGAACGTTCGTTTCGTTTTCGGTTCTTATTCGTTTCTTATTCGTTTCGTTCGTTGGAGCAAATTGACATTAGAGAAGAAGAAAAATATTTTTTCCCCCTCAAATGTCACAAACGAACGAAACGAATAAGAAACTAATAAGAACAGAAAAAAAAAACGAACGTTCGACCTACCGCTACCGAATTTCGTCCGAATCCGAATTGACTTCCCGAAAAACGAAATAACACAAATCCGAATTTAAAACTAAACAATTTTTTTGGCAGTGCACATGTCTATAAGGCTGTGCATAATATTCCATGTATGCTATGCTACAGAAAACTACAGTGTCGAAAACAGTAGGTGTTCGGAGACTGAAGGCATGTTCAGGCTACACACCTTCTACAAGAGTGAGGGAAGACTGGGGGGTATGCTTCAGGAGACGGTCATTGATTGGGATAGACAGTTAAGCCCCCTACACATGGGCATTCTGATAAGGTCCATCTGTTTTTCAGGCGGACCTGATCAGAAGCCCAATGTTAGTCTATGGGCAGCCTGATGTACATCCAGTTACCGCTGGCTCCAGACAGGTCCAGAAAAACAAATGGATCAGGACCAGTTGACACCACAAAGTCTGGGTTCCAGAGCGTTCGGCCTCTGGAATGCAAGCCGGCCGGCTCCCTGCGTTCAGGGGCGGTAGGGGTATGGCGGTGCATTGAAGTCAATAGCAATAGCCACGTCCCCCGCCTGCAGTGCGATCGCGCGCACCCGGAACGCAGGCACTAATGTGCGATCGCACTGCGGGCAGGGGTGTGGCTGCGGTGCCATTGGCTTCAATGCACCGCTACGCTCCCTCCCGCCCCTGAATGCAGGGAGCCGGCCAGCTTGCGTTCCAGAGGCCGAACGATCTGGAGCGCAGACTTTGTGGTGTGAACCGGCCCCCTGGGTTCTGTTTCAACAGACCTGACTGCACCGGATCGGAGGTAATTGGATGTAAATGGACACATCCGATTCCCCATAGCACAACATGGGTTCGGTAACTTCTGATAGACGCAGATTCAAAATCAGTGTCCCCTGCGGATCAGAACTGAAGGCACAAGTCCAAAGAAGCTCTTCAAATCAATGCTCTCTATCATCCCATTGAAAATGTCTTGGTCCACATTTGATATTTCCCTCAACAAGGTCTAAAGCCTACTAAGGATAGTTATGATAAAGGAGCAGACAAATTCCATGATTTTTAAAAAAAAAAAAAAAAAAAAAAAAAAAGCATCTGGTACTTAACATTTTGAAGCATATTTCATAGCTGTTGAGGGTAGCCCATTGTCCCTGGTCATTCAAACTGCATGATAGCATATCAAGTGAATTGGTTAATTCTTGACTTCTGTGTTTATATATTCAACCCCTGCTACACAATGTGGTTTTGGTCAGTATTTGTTTAGGGATTGCTTTAGTAGCTTTCACTGCATTAATGATGCAGCTAGCTGCTCTTTGGTGATGGACCTTGTTACTTACTAAAATATGGGAGCTCTTAACGTGTTCCTCTGCGACTTGGTTGTGTGCTACTGGCTGATGGCTGAGTATGAAGACTTACACTTGTTCCTCTTAATGAGCTTTGGTGCCAAATAGTGGTGTGTAATGGTTCATTGTTGTAGGGGATTATGTAGGTTCCTCCTGTATGTTGAGGCCATTCCCTCATTCCTTTGTTGGTCCCTCTTTGACTTTGGAGGAGCTTTTGGTACTTAGACCTTCAGTGGTAAGAGTTTTATGTCGTTGTTATTGCTAAGACTATGATAAGACAGCATATGTCCATCAGTGATCTCTATAAATAACTAGAGATTTCAATCTACATCTGTCAACTGACTAATCCTTTACTATTTATGCATTTCACCTTTTCTTGTGTGTTCCAGGTTACCATAACTGGCACTCCACATGCAAATGCCATGTTTCTTAAAGAGGAATAACCACAAAGGACTCAATTTCTTGCTTGGTTCAGAATGTGTACATCAATACAAAGCATGGAAGAAGACGCTGCTTTTATATAAGTACCTGAAAAAGACTGTTACATCTGGATAACAACTCTGTTTAAATATGGCGGGTGCAATTGCTTCAAGAATGAGCTTCTCTTCTCTAAAGAGGAAACAGCCCAAAACATTTATTGTCCGTATCATTACGATGGATGCAGAGATGGAGTTTAACTGTGAGGTAATGATGCATTTCTAGTGCTCACTGTGTTGTTCTTTGTTTGTAATGCATATACATCAGTTGGCATTTAGTTGATCAGTTGAGCCAAAAGCTTTCTAGGCAATAGTGACTAAGTGAGCAGTTGACTGGTACAGGTGTATAGCATAGATGAGACATAAAGTACCAATTTCATCTCTCCTATCACGTTTTCTTGTCTGTGTGTACACTGCAATCTGGTTATTCGCTGATGAAACAAGCACGGAAGCATTTTACTCACTTTAAGGGCCTGTTCACACCATCCAATGCGTTCACGGCACCGTTCTGTGCCATGAACGCACTGGATCGCATAAACAAATCCTCCCCACATTCTGGAGGAGTTGTTGCGGTAGTGCCACTGCAGACACGTTGACTGCAGCGGAACGTGTGGTACCACAATGCCCTGTGTTCCAGTGTGATGCGATCACAAAAAATAGTGCGTGCACTGCAGGAAGAACGCATGTCTGCGCTTCCATTGAAATGAATGACACTACCTTGCCCTCTCCCACCCCAGAAAGTGGGAAGGCTTTGTTTATGCGATCCAGTGTGTTCATGGCACAAACCATGCTGTGAAAGCATTGGATGGTGTGAACAAGGTCAGAGGATTAATTCACAAAGCTTTAACACAAGGATGAGGAGCTTTATTTTTTCTTATTTTGCCTAGGCATACAATAAGAGGAAATTACATCACATGGAATCCAGAAACCAGTTATCAAATTCTTTTAAAAAGATAGAAAACGTGGTCCAACTGACTGTAGAAGGAGATGTAAACTGTTGCCAACTGTAAATGTTTAACTGAATTGGCTACTGGACAGGAGATGATGTATGCCTCTGATGAGTATTGCACGCTAGTTGGAGAGCATATCTGTTACAGAGGGGTTATCCAACCTGATCTAGAGACACCCGATCGCTTGTATTAGCAGCAGGTGTCACTGCCGTTGTCCGTCCCAACATCCGCTGTGCCTGGTGCAGCTGGGACCGGCGCAGCTGCTATGTGACAGGAGATGAAAGGGAGATCAGTACACGACCTCCCTCTGATCTTCTCTCCAGTCCCCGAATGCAGGTAGTCATGTAGATTACATGACGTCCGCATTCTGCTGTCACTCTCCAGCTTCAAAAGCAGGGGAGAAGCTGGTGAAGCAGATCTTTGCTTCATCAGCTTCTCCGGGGGTGACATTAGGTCCTGGACCCCCTGATGTCTCCATAAAGAGGACCTGTCATGTAAATTGGCTATCACATAGGGGGCTTCTTAGTCCCCTATGTGATAGCAATAAAGTTAAGTGTTAAAAAAGAGTAATAAAAAAAATGAAAGAAGCATAATTGTTTTTTTTTAAAACACTACATTTTTTTCATATCCCCTGCCCCAACATGCACACGCAAACATGCTCTATCTGTCCCCAAAAAATGTTAACAAATTGCAAGGCTATAATCCGGTCATACTGATTGGTGAGACACCCTAACATTTTTCAAGCCCTGGCTATGAGAGTGGAAGACTTTTTGGTTGTTGGAAAGATTTAAATAGAGATGAGTGATTGGAGTCAGATGGGCTTAGAATCAGCCAGGATCGGACAGTTCTCAGTGGGTATCTACACGTCTCAGCTGATCCATTCAACTCAGTTTAAGCTTTAAACCAGGAATAGGCAAGCTCAGCACTCAAACGGTTGTGAAACTACCAATCACATCAGCCTCTGGGAGTCATTCCTGTGGCTGTCAGAATCTTGCAATGCCTCATGGGACTTGTCGTTCCGCTACAGCTTCAGTGCCAAGGTTGCCTAACCCTGCTTTATACCATATATTGAAGCATGAGTGTTTATCAAGCACAATAGAGTGACATATATGTTAATGAGCCCATTAGGAGTGTTGTTCTAATCTATTGACTAGAAGCTGTTGTTTGGACTGTTGCAGCTCCTAAAGTGTATCTTAACCTCAGATTGCAGGTTCCTTGTACCCCTGAAATTTTGTCTTTTTTGGCCTCTTAGATGAGAAGGACTGGCCTCACTACATACAAATATGTTTAAAGAAGAACTCCGGCCAAATATAATCTTAATCCTTGCATTGTATCTACCAACCACATGCAAGGGTTAGCCCTTCCACTGCCAATGTGTTTTTCTTTTGCACACATCAAATTCCACGTGTGGGCTATAGCCGCAGGCAGTTTGTTTAAAGGGGCCCACTGCCAGCGATGTATCACATACGTCCGTGCATGTCTCCTCCTCCTCCTCTGCTGCAGCGATGGAATGTGGTTCTTATGTCCAATACACAGTGTATTGGAAAATGCGTTTTTCTACACTGTGAGAGGCTGTTTCAAAAATATACTTTACCTCATGATTAGGCTTGTAAACGTCTCGCAAGGGCAGCTGCAAGGAGGTCACTTCCTATTGACATGGGTATGTCCCTCAGAACAACATCTCTCAATGTGTGACAGGCTTTAGGGAGTCAAGGCAGCAGCATTGCTCTGCGTGGAAAGAAATCATTATATGCTGGTGAAGAGGGGTAAAATATGGGGAAATTGGGGTAATGTGCATGTATTGCAGTGATTTGTGGATGTTTGCTACACTTTTTAAAACATTTACAAAACTTTGTCACATGTAAAGTGTATGCAAACCCAAGATGACATAATTGTCGGGATCCGCTTCAGCTGCGGCGTCTCAGTATACCGCGAGCTGTAGCTGGGCACAATACACTTACTGTAGTTCGGGCATTTGTATTGTCTCTGCTATAAACTCACCTATAATAAGAATTTACTCCTTTTCCCCACAAATCTTAAACATACTTTTGGGTGGAAGTCCAGCTCCTGCTGAAATTCCATGCCTCCTCTAGCTTCAACGCTGCAGGTCACATAGACCACAGCGCTGCGGTTGCATCTCTGCCCACTCATAAAATGGAGACTGGGGCCATTTGCTTTGTGATTGGCCAGTAGGAGAGGGGGACAAAGGTGCGATTGCAGTGCTAAAGTCTGTGATGTGTGGACTTGAGAGAGGGTTTCCCCAAAATGACAGGCAGTATATGGGTTTTTTTTTTTTTTTATATCTTTATCTTTTAAGAATCTTCCAGCTTATTCAATCTGAGCAGGTTTCTTATGTTTGAACTGCTTTTAAAAATATTTGCCAAGATCTCAGAGTACAGCTGCTTGCATGCATTCGGACATGGAGTGATTGTAATTTCTGGCCTTTTTCAGGTCACACCACCCTCCTGCCACTCGGCTTCTGCGGTGCACAGAGGCACTGTAATCTCTGGCATGGCAGCTCAGCTCACCATGCCCATACCTTACCCCGACTTCTGGTGTAGAGGACTGCTGTCAGGATTCGGAGATACAGTTGACCGCTCCTTAGTGGAGGAACGCTCCTGCAGCGCATCCCATTCTGTCACCACATACCCAAAAACCCCTCCTTTCACTCTTGCCAAAACAGCTGACCTCCATCTTTATTCCCCCTGCGCCACACCTGCACACCAACCACCATTTTTTTTTGCCACTACTGTACCACTACGCACTTCTGTGCTAGCCAGCAGTGCAGTGACTGTTACAGATTTAGCTTGTTCAACAAACGGGGACACTTTTGCTATTACGCTGTAATTGTAATGTAGTACACCTAGTTTATCATATCCGGGAGCACCATCTATACTCTGTCCAAACCTACTTCTGGCGTGGCTCGTTTTCTGGTCACATAACCATGAATACATCAGGCTTTCCCCGTTAAGCCTACCAAATCACTAATTAAGGAGTTTTGTGGTCATAGAACTGTAACTGCTTGGTAAATGTGCCTCATGATGACCACACAGCATGTGTAAATGATAAGTCTGTGAAATAATACTGTTGGGCGTTGAAACATTAAAAGTTGAACTCGAGGCTAAAAAAAGTCACCCCCCCCGCCTTCCTCATCACACACACTGCAAGGGTTAAATGCTCATTTTTGCCTATAGGTAGAGGAATAAGGTGTAATACTTGCCTTATTCCCGGCCTCCCCTCAAAGGCGTGCCTAGTCACAGTTGCACACGTGCCTCCTCCACATACAATGCAGGACTATTAGTCCTGCCTTGTACATGCTGACTACAAGGAACTGCCCTCAGTGAGCCGAAGGTTAAGGTAAATAATATCCATCCCCCCCTCGAGTTAACTAACATTTACCCCGTGCCGTGCTTAAAGGAAGGATAATCAATAATTCACATGATCAAATAAACATCAGCACTGGGAGCAGTGTAAAACTGTGATCACATTAATGGCCAGCAAGGGACTGTGTAATATTGCTAGCAACAGCATATTAAGGCCACAATGGGATTAGAATGTTGGGGTTTATGAAGTGCCAGCAGCAGTTTATGTATCACTTTTAATTATATGAACATCAGTAAAACTTGTTTATGCATTGTGATGTTAAAGGTAAACTTCAGTCAGAATTAAAATCTGGGCAATAAAATGCTTAAAGCGGAACTGTAACATCAGCTTCCCTCAAGTACCTTCTGTTCCGCAGCTCCGCAATTCCCGACACCATCCTATAGCTATAATAAGAGACAAATACAGGAATTAAGATGGCGTTCATGTTTCCCCCTTAGTTTCAGGTTGAAATTCAGATTCAATGGTCAAAACAATAGCAAAGCATTATGTGTTTTTTCAAGGAAAATAAATGTTTAATAGTTGAATTTAAACCGGTGATTGAGAGAAGCAAATTTTTGAAGGATAACGTGGACTTGTCAAAAATTGCACCTGGGTTCTGTATCAATATGGCGGGTGTTCATTAAATTAGCTCTCATTATGTATGGACTGTTTTGTAAAGTTGTCCTAATTATTAAGGCTCTAGTATTGCATGAGGTCTAATTGTGGGCACTTATGATAATGCTGTTATTTTTTGTATGTATGTGTAAGTCATTAGAAGATAGTCCTAATGAATTATCCTGGTTATTACGGTTTATACTTTGTTATGGTGCACACAAGCTGAGTCATTTTCTCAGTGATGGTTTTAAAAAAAAGGGCAACACAATTCTGCAGCTGAAATACCAAACAGTTTCTGAGCTTTTTCTGCTGTTCTCCGGATAGCAGCTTAGGACCCTCTAGCACTGTAATATCATATTTGTGGTGCACTGTAAGATTATACTGCAGTTATGATGCAGTTTACCTTGAGTGCGGTAAAGAATGCCCTTGAAAGTATGTCCTTATTCCGGAAACCACTTTAAAATTGCAGGCTGCCTTCACCTGCTGTTTTCAAGTAATACTTACAAATCACCTTTACCGTTTGTCACCCACTTTCTTTTAGAAGATGTCAACAATGTTGTTTTATTAGTTTTGCTGTAAATTAATTTTGTGGTTTTCTTTAAAGGAGAACTATGGGGTCAGTGTTTTTCCCCATAGTTCTCCTTGGGGTAACGGGAGGACACAAACTAGCGTCCTCCCGTCACCCTAAGCTCAGTATACCGCGAGCTACAGCTACCGCGAGCTACAGCTACAGCTCGCGGTATACTGAGACGCCGCACCGGAGGCGGATCCCGACTTCCGCCCAGCTGCGTGAGTGACAGCTGGCTCTGCCTATCTAGAGGCAGAGCCAGCTGTACCCGCCCCCTCCCCCGTCCGTTCCGCCAGTCAGCGCTGGCAGATCGGAGCGGGGAGAGGGGAATCCAGCCCCTCCCCCTGTCACGGCAGAGAGCCTTGACAGGATCGAGAGGTGAGGGAACCCGGTATGTTTTACCTCACCTCCGATCTACTGAGCCGACCTGTGACAGTCTCATTGTCACAGGTCGGCTTAGAACTATGACATGAGTGGAAATCACTCATGTCATAGTTCTCCTTTAAAGCAGAGGTTGCAATAAAAAGGAAAGGTCTGCTTAATACAGGGCTATACAACTCCTAGGAGACCGGAAGCCAATGCTCCTTAAAAATTACTGCTAACCCCTAACTTTTAGGGTTTTGTCTAGTTGTCAATGGATCTGGCTCCTTAAAAAAAAAAACATCCTGCTTGCTCTAGGATTAGACAGACTAGCCCCGGAATTCAATATTAATTTGTCCACCCCTGACTTAAAAAAGCTTTTTTTGGACTCTTTTAGTCCTGTTTTGTGTTACAGGAGTACTTTTCCTAATGTACTCCTGTGACCAAATGTCAGCATAAAGCGGAATACTGCCCGCTATAGTGCAGAGCCACGCTGCAGCTGGGAAAGTTTCCGACAGTATTGTCGGGATCCACCCTGCTGTTGGATTGACAGCTGGCTCTGCCTCTCTTGAGCCAGAGCCAACTGTGCCAGCCCCCTCCCCTGTTTGTCCCTCGAATGAGCGCTGGAGGAGCAGAGAGAGGGTAGGTGGGAATCCCTGCTGGGACGGGTGTCTAGCAAATAGAGGCTTGCAATGTAAGTCAGTGTATGCATGCTGGTGTCACCCTGTAAGAAGAAGGAGCCCCCGTAGAGTTGGACAGCGGCACCAGTGCTGAAGGGACACCTTGAAGTGTCTAGAAGGAAGATGACATATACATCAAGAGGTTTCACATAAGAGAACTCTTTACACCAGCATTAGAGGGAAAAAATGGTAGGCTTTAGTGTCACTTTAATATATTGGGGCCCCTTCCCATCACAAAATAGCTTGACATGGAAAAAAAAAAGCATGATGTCACTGTAGTACAGGAGTGCCCCGGGGTAGGTAAGTATGTGTACTAACTTTTTATTTTTTCAATTTCATGCCTGCGTAGCTGATATCTAAGTGTGAAATTTTACGAAACTTTGGTGTTTACCGACCTGCAACTTCCTGGGATGCATGACGTGAATATCCCAGGAGGTTGCTGGTAGCTGAAGGTATGCTACTATTGCCTAGGTGAGAAGTGAAGAAATGGGAGGGTGGAGGGACAATTTATTATATATAGTTCACAAAGGGAATGATCAAAAGTACAGTAAATAGTGAAAGGTCCTCTTTAAATGATATTTAAATACACAATAGGACTTGGCAAATATATTTTTCTGTCTTTCAGGTAAAGTGGAAAGGAAAAGATCTGTTTGATTTGGTATGTCGAACTTTGGGCCTTCGCGAAACTTGGTTTTTTGGTCTTCAGTATACTATTAAAGACACCATAGCGTGGCTAAAAATGGATAAAAAGGTAACTGAGATTACTACAATGCTATGTTGTGTGTATGTATGCCCACCTCTTAGCGGCCTTACTTTGCATATTGAATTAATTCCCTACAGGTACTGGATCACGATGTTCCAAAAGAAGAACCTGTGACATTCCACTTTTTAGCCAAATTTTATCCTGAAAATGTAGAGGAGGAGCTTGTACAGGAGATTACACAGCATCTATTCTTCCTTCAGGTAAGCTTCCATTCCATATTTCTTCCAGCTGGAAAGTTTATTCCCACACCATACACACCAGTTATTGCTTGTTGGGTTTGAACAACAGATTGCGTGTTGGGTTTAAGCAGCAGATCTCAAGCATAAGCCTGCTATCTACTCTCTTTGAGCCATGGGAGTACATTGGTACATGTACTCCTGTTACCCAAAAAAGGAAGTAAAGCCAAAAAAAGGGTTTACACTCTAAAAGTACAAATGTGACCCAGACTATTCACATTTAAATTATTTACATATTTTTACACAGTAAAATAGCTTTAAAACAAGCATACTGACCACTCTAGTTGCTTGTAGTGTGAAGAAATTCATTCTTAAAGATCCCCAAAAATGAAAGCAAAGACTCTAAGGCTGAAGAACTCACACTGTCCTGTATGCATTGCAGTATGTGTGGTAAATGCATATCTGTGAATGGGCCCATAAAGATTTCCTTTTCTTTTCACACTAAACTGCAGCTCTTAGATGTGAACCAGCCCCACAGGAAACAATGCAATTTCTACATGAATTTTACTGTATGTATTCTGACTCCGATCGTTGTGATAGCGATATATCCCTTGCTGAGACCTCTATGCCTGGCCTGTATAAGCAGATATACTCACTGCGGACAATCCTTGTCAGATAGCTGAACTCGTCAATACCGATTCATTCAAAAGAGGTGTTTATTCTTAACATCAGGATTACAGCAGATGATAGGAACAGCAGTCGAATGGTTATAGTATTGTGCGGTCAGAAAATGATGCCTTTTCTAGCATACTGCGCAGAGTATATGTGTCCTAGTTACATGTGGCCTGTAGCTGTGGCCATGACACAGGAAGTACTGCACACAGGAAGAAAGGTGGGGCTTACACAAAAAGGACTGAGTCATCGACCTCAGTGATAATCAAGCAGGGTAACATTAAAAAATACATACACTAACACAAAAGACCACTTCTGAGAGGGGTGTTGGGGTTTCATTCAAATGAATGCACACAGTATCGCACACTAGGTGTGCTATGTCAGGGCTCAAAATTTCCACTCGCCTGCCCGCATTTGGCGAGTAAAAATAAAGTGAGGCAGAGTGGAAATTTGGGTCTCCAAGTACCAGTCCACGGGCCAACTCCGGCCCGCGAGCCGGTACTATGTGGCCCGCAGCCAGCTGACATGTCAGGCACACGGTCGCAGACCGCGTACCTGACTTGCGGGAGCAGCTCCGCGGTCTGCATCTGTGTCAAGGTCCACGGTCTGCATCCCTGGCTTCCTTCGGACGGAGCTCTGACAGTTCTGAGCTCTGGTCGAAAGAAAGGATGTATGTGAGCAGGATCGATGCCTGGTTATCTGGGGGTGATTAGTGCTGCAGACCTCACTAATCACCCCCAGATAACCAGGCAACGATCCTCCTCACAGCCTCCTCCCTGCAAAGACGTGAACAGGTGGGGGGGGGTTTGAGTGTATTATTATTTTGTGTGAGGGGGTTTTAAAAAGGGGGTGCATATTATTTTATGTGTGGGGGGGGTTAAGGAGGGAGCGTATTATTTTTTGTGATGGCCTCGAGTAGCTTGCTGTATTTGTAGGGTTGACGTTCATAAGCTTTAACCTTCTTTTTTTTATACTTTTAAACAGGTTAAAAAGCAAATATTGGATGAGAAAATATATTGCCCTCCAGAAGCGTCTGTGCTGTTAGCTTCATATGCAGTTCAAGCAAAGGTGAGTTTTTTTTCTCTGTTTTTGTCTTTTGATTTGCATGAATATATGACAAACTCTAGAAGCCAGGGAAGCCGTCGCGCCTGAACTCAGGGAAAAAATTCTTAAAGGAGAACTATGGGGTCAGTGTTTTTCCCCATAGTTCTCCTTAGGGTAACGGGAGGACACAAACTAGCGTCCTCCCGTTACCCTAAGCTCAGTATACCGCGAGCTACAGCTCGTGGTATACTGAGACGCCGGAGCGGATCCCGACGTAGATGACGGGATCCGCCCAGCTGCGTGAGTGACAGCTGGCTCGGCCTATCTAGAGGCAGAGCCAGCTGTACCCGCCCCCTCCCCGTCCGTTCCGCCAGTCAGCGCTGGCAGAGCGGGGAGAGGGGAATCCAGCCCCTCCCCCTGTCACGGCAGAGAGGCGAGCGAACCCGGTATGTGTTCGCTCACCTCCCGATCTACTGAGCCGACCTGTGACAGTCTCATTGTCACAGGTCGGCTAGAACTATGAGGTGAGGGAAAAGCACTCACCTCATAGTTCTCCTTTAACCCTTGCAGTGGGGCTCCACTGCAGCGATGGTATGCCCCTCTGCGTTCTTATGTTCCATACATTGTATAGAACATGATGCATAAGTCCCCATTTTCAGATCTCATTAGCATGCTTCCCCAGGGCTGACAGGCATGGCCTGCAGAAAGCCATGCCTTGATTTTTCGTTCACTCTTTAATTTTTTCCCTGCTGCCTCATGCATGTACTGTTAACTCCAGTAGAAAGTAATGGAGCGGACATAAAAGCACCTCTGTACTCTGTAAGCTACTCCATTGTTTCCTGTGAGAGTCAACAGTGCTGTGATAGAATCAGAAAACAGTGGTGCAGGAAGGAAACCCCAAGCCTGTGCTCCAGGCAGGCTGTGCCTCTCTGCTCTAGGTAAGCATGCATCTGAGGACTTGTAAAAGGGGACTTACTTGTGCTTAGAGGGAGTGGTGGGTGGCCGAGTGTATAATATACAGAAGTTTGTTCACAGCATTATACTTGCTTCCTCAGCCAAGAGGATGTTGTCCAAGGGATACATGTACAATGTCCAAGCCTGGGCTTTCAATAGAGAAATAGCATTTGATACTATGATCATTAGATCTCACTCCCTCCCTCTTCTTTTTATGTTGCCTTGAATTCAACAACTACTTCAACTGGCCTGAGATCTAATGGGTTTAATGGTGTATCTATGTGCCAATTCAACGCTTTTCTGACAATTATTGATAAGCATGTTTAAAGTAATTCTGTCACTTGTAAAATAAGATTAGTGTTTTAGAGCTCATTAAACTAATGTAGAAATCAGTTTGAATTACATTTTTGTTGTTGATTAATCAGCCATGAACAATTTACATATTGGTGCCATCTCTTCAGATCACTGCTTTTCTACTAGAACACTTCACTGCTTTGGACAATTAAGATATTTCTCTAAAATTGTTGTGCCCATTGTGAATATAATATTAAATCAATCTTAATCTGCACTGACAGACTCGGCATAAAGATGTTACTTCATCTAATTAGTGAACTACTTCATGTCCCAGTGCACTTTTCTTGTTAGCAGATTCCCTTTTAATATATGGAAACGAGTAGGGCAGTTAATTCTTTTTTCTGTATTACACCATGTCCATCGTTGTGAAGAATATTCCTGTTAACTTTACCCAGTAGAATTCAATGGACCTTTCATCTTGCTCTTTTATTAATTAAATATATCAGAGACTCTACTTAGGTCATTGTTCTGAAACTTGAGGCTCTCTTGGACATGCCTATATTTAACCTTATCAGCTAGTGCAGAATATTGCATTAGGACTTGCAGTGGTTCATGAATTTATAAGGCTTTTAATGTGTATTTTCTGGATAAAAAACTGACCGTGATTTTAGGCAGAACTACAGGAAAATATAAAACATTACACTATTTTCTGCAATTCTGTATTCAGTAAATCAAATGAATTACATTTTAATGCAGATAGTCTTATTTGTGGTGGTAAACTTAATATAAGGGACCTGAAGTGTGACCCCTTGACATCAATGAAATGCCATACATAATGTTCAATGTATGTAATGCTAGATCAAGGGTGGACAAAAGTATATGGCATTCAGAAGCCATTCTCTTTGATCCAGAGCCAGCATGATTTTTTAGGAGACAATTGCATTGTCAACAACTAGAGAACACCTCAAACGTTAAGCGCCAGCTGTAGTTTTTAAGGAGCATTGGCGATCCGGCTTTTTGGATTTGTCCAAAGCTGCGCTAGATGGTTAGAGAATGTTGGCATGCAGATGGTCATAGAATGCAGAAGTGCTACAAGCATAAATGGAGACTGGAAACATGTATCAGGAGGCTGTCAGAGACTGGAGACATGCTACAAGAGACTGCTAGAGATCACAGCTACTACAGTTCTTTTACAAATTGGTGCCCCTTTAAAAAATAAAATTTCTGTCGCCACATTTTATATTCACAGTAGGATCTTCTAAAAGGTCAGAGAGGAAAAAAATACACAAAAAGGAGGGAAAAGAAATGAACGGCACAGATAGAGGAAAGCGTGAAACCACTTTAATATTTTCCTTCGCTTTCCCCAAGTAAACACCTAGGTGGGGAAAATGCTGACTAATGTCTTCACACCAAGCACCAAAAAGGGCCTCAGGTGGGGCAGCAGGGGTCTAAATGCTTGGCCCTGTAGCAAAGCACTCTAGAGTGGTGTCAGCACACTGAGCCATTGGGGGCTCTATTGCTTTGCTGAGGTCTGTCACTCTAACGTCCTGAACATACATACAGAATAGAAGAGCACAGCAATGATCTCATAAGTGTGCTGCTTCTCCTTTACTGCCCTATCTGCAGGATGCAGGAGAAGTGGTTACTATGAAAGTAGAACTTCACCTTTTACTTTATTTTCAGTGCTGCTTGAAATATAGACAGTAAGTCCCCTACTTACAAATGAGTTCCGTTCCAAGAGCACGTCCGTAAGTCCAACAAAGTTAGCTTAGGTAACCAACTAATACAGTTGGCTATATAGTACTGTACTGTGATAGGTTTAGAATACTTTAATACTAAAATACTTTTCACTCAAAAAATACATAAAAGACAAACAAAAAATTATAAAGAAAACATTTTTAATCTTACAGTACCTTGAAAAGTACAGTACAACAGCTGGCATTGATTAAACGGGCAAGAAGAGTTACTGACCGGAGGTAGGAGATGGTAGAGCTGAAGAATCACCATCAATAGGAGATAAAGGACAAGCTGCAATATCATTCATGTCTGACATTGATGGCACAGGTTCTGGTTCCTTGCTGGACTCAATTCTATCTACCCTCTTGAAAAAAACGATCCAGTGATGTCTGCAAAGTAGCTTTTTTTTTTTTCTCTCGTCATAGATGACACTGTAGCACTGGATTGCATTCTGAACGGCTGCTGCAACCTTCGTGTATCGTTCTACGTTCGTGTCCTGTGCTTCAAAAATTAACAGTGCCTCCTCAAATGAAAAAAATCCCCTTGCTATTTCCTGCATTGTGAATCTATTCGGTTGTTCATGATTCGTCAATTGCTTTTACTGCCTGACCAAAGTCGCGACGTAAATAATATTTCTTGAAAGTCGCTACAACTCCCTGGTCCATAGGTTGGATGAGCAACGTAGTATTCAGTGGCAGATGCACTACTTTGACGTTGGGATGAAAGTCATCCATAAATGGGGGGTGCCCCAGAGCATTGTCCAGCAGCAAAAGAATGTTGAATGGGATGTCCTTCTCCAAGCTATATTTCTCTACCTGGGATAATATGGTAGAAAAACCAGCCCTGGAACATGGCCTGTGTAACAAAGGCTTTGTGGTTACTCTTCCACACAACAGGAAGAAAGCCCTTGGCTATGTTTTTTTAAGGGCTCTTGGGTTCTGAATGATAAACTAAGAGAGGCTTCAGCTTCATATCGCCGGAAGCATTGCTACCAAACAACAGATTTAGCCTATCCTTTGCTGCTTTATAGTCTGGCATCAACTTTTCTTCCTTACTGATGTAACTTTGGTCTGGCATTCTCTTCCAGTACAGCGCTGTCTCATCCACGTTAAAGACCTGCTCAGGTAGATACTGGCCTTTTAGCTATAATTTCTCGAAGCGTTTCAGGGAATTCACAGGCAGCTAACGTATTGGCACTTGCTGCCTCACTATTTACTTTTACATTGTGAAGGTTGGCTCTAGCCTTAAACCGATGAAACCAGCCATTGCTGGCATTAAAATATGCGCCCTCTTAATCTTCGCCATGTTTCTTCTTCAAGTCTTCATAAAGGCTTTTAGCTTTCTCTTGAATCAGCATTAAGCTGAGTGGGACCTGATGCTGATCCTGCATCCACACACTGAGAAGTTTCTCCATCTTCTCCATCACCTTTCCACGCTTCTTCGTTATTATTGTGGACATCATTGGCACATGTTCCATGATCTTGTCCTTTATTCTTTAGAATCGTGCTGATGGTTGAACGATTCATGTTATAGGAACGAGTGACGTCTACCATCTTTTTCGCCTCGCTCCAGTTTCTCTATTTTTACTTTTGTTTCCATCGTTATCGCTTGGTGCTTCTTAGCAGTAGCAGTACAAGTGGACACCCTTCGCTAGATACTGTACTCTGTGCAGTACTGTACAATAAAGTACACAAAAAGCACAGCCTCTTGCAGCAGACGCACGTGACAATGTACGCAAGACAAGTGAACGAACTTCCGTGAATGGACATGCGAATGCTCGTTTGCATCTTTTAGGTTCGTAAGTAGGGAACTTACTGTAATTAAGAGAATTGTATTTCAGCCTGCGGTTTTAAAAAAAAAAAGAGAGAATATGGGCTGTGTTCTAATAACAATACACACACTTATTTTCCTTAGTTTTTCCTTGAAGTGATTTTCTTATAGAAAGTTGGTACTATTTATTTCCTCTCTCTTTCAGTATGGAGATTACGATGCTTCTGTACACAAGCGTGGGTTCCTAGCAGAAGAGGAGCTACTTCCAAAGAGGGTGAGTCTAGTTTACATCTTCTAGGTATTAAAATGAGTTGTCTGAGCCAGATTGCCTTTATTGTATGGTATTACCTACAGAAAAAGCCTGCAGTTCTGTCAGTTACTGAGCCTGTTTACCTAATTGCAGCCAATGTGATTCAAACCATCATTCTTCTATCATTCCTATTAAAGATTTGGACTTGATTTATTGCTATGAAACAGCATGGGCTAAGACTATTCTGCTTATAAACCTATTGATATCCCCCCATGTTAATTTATCTTAGAAGAGAATATTTTCACGATTTTTTTTATAAGACGCATCTAACTCTATTGGTAATTTCAAACTCCCTTTGTTGGAGAGACTTTGTCATTTTCCTATTCAAAGCAAGTAACGGTGCCTTTGTGAAGCCTCCCGTCCCACTGATACTTACCTGGTCAGCACTTATTCCTCTTTCGCAGCCTGGGCTAAATTCCTGGTGCTTAAGTGTTTGGATCCCATGATGCAGTGCTCAGGCTTAGCAGCCAATCGCTGGGCCCAAGAACTGTCATCTGATGGTGGGGGTGACATCACTGCTTCTGCTAGATGCTTTTTTAAACACTAACAGGCAATTTGCTAAGATTATGTGTATCAATATGATTTTCTACCTATCGTTATCTAAAATTTTACATTTAGGACTATACATACCCTCTAAAGAGCTACCTTACACATCTAATCTAATTTGCATGCAATAGTTTGTTCAAGCTATTTTTTGGGGGGTTTTGGGTCATAGGAGTATATTTAATAATCTACTCCTGTGACCCAAACTCAGCATAGACTGGGCTACTGCACTATATGCTGACAGCGCAGAGCCGTGCTGCAGCCGTGAAGCATCCAAACAATATTGTTGGAATCCACCTTGCTGCCTGATTTACAGAGGCAGCTGTGTCCGACCCCCTCCCCTGTCTGTCCCTCCAATGAGCATTGGTGGCAAGTTGACAGTGATGGCAAGATGGAGTGTTCTGGGCATCGATTTTAAACGTTCAAATGAAATTCTAACAGCGCATGGTCAACTTTAACTCTGCTGTAGGTTCTGGTCTCTGTCTTTCCTCTACAACCTTGCAGAAATCTTAGAGTAAGAGAGGGGGTGCTGTGAGCAGCTCCAGGGTTTGCCAGTTGTGTGTCACTGCTTTAGGTATTGTATCCTACTTATTTCAGGTGATTAACCTGTATCAGATGACTCCAGAAATGTGGGAAGAGAGAATAACTGCCTGGTATGCAGAACATCGTGGGCGCACCAGGTAAGATAGCAGCTTGGTTTCAGTACCTTTGTAGATTTTATATGGATTGTATTGAAAATGAGAATATGTGCACATGGATGTCTTTTTTTTTTTTT